CAGCCCTTGTGAGTGTTCTGAATTGCTGCAGTCATAGGGCCAGAAGGGATTTTGAGAGTTCACTTTGTTCAGCCTTGTCTGAAACGTTAGATCCAGTGCCTGGTGTAAATATTTGTCGAATCTGTGAATCTGCTTTATCACACTTTGTACTTTCATCAAGGTGGAGCCCTGACACCATCTCAAATATACATTTGCGAAGAAGGTTTTAAAATGCATCGTTAACTGTTGAACGTGTTTCAACACGTTCTGTTTCAGTGAGTAGAAGACAATCTATAAATCTAACACAGACTCCTCTTACTAAAAGAGAAAGTTGCCATGTTCGGGGGTTAGTTGTCATAAGACTCGTCCCACTGTTGCAATCAGAAAACTGGAACTTCATGAGGGCAGGCCATCCTGGGCGTGCCTCCCTGTCATCAGTTCCTGGAACAAACTTACATCCCTGTTAGGTGAGCCTTACGGGGCCGGATCAAGGCTTGTGTTTCCCTGAGATAATGAGTTCTTGACTCAGATACTCACTTTCCAAAGAATTTCACCCTGAACCCATCAATTCATGTTGCTCCGTGCCTTGGAAACCATTTCTCTTCTCATGATTACACAGCTGAAACTTCTAGGCATTCCTGTGGTGGAGATAACATTTTCTCCTCTTACCAACTGCGTTTTTTTTTTTTTTAAGCCATATCATCTTGTCAGTTACTGCTGCTGCTGTTTTAGAATTCAGAGCCTGAATTAGTAAACTATCCTATTGGAGTCTCTAAGGATGTAATTTTTTATTCTTTTTGCCTCCCAAGAAGATGCAGGGGAGGTGAATTCAGAAAATAAACAACCATCTGGACTTTGTGAAAAACAGACCTCCTTCTGCTTACATTGAACAGAATAGCAGTGGAGGGGTGATGGCCGCCCTACTGGAGTGCAGCTAAGACAGCAAAAAAAAAAAGACACCTGTGATGTACAAGATGTTTTTATTCTCATGTCTGTGTTTTAAGTTAGCATGCATTATTATTTACCAAAAAGCAAGAAAACATCTGAGAACTGAAATCTTCTGTTGTTCATACATTGACCAGACAGTTCTTAAGCACCTTTTCTGCTGTGAAAACTAATCACAAGGTTCTTCCTCCCCAAGGAGGGTTTAATAGGGAAAATGAGGCTTCTGCCAACAAATTACAGTAAAAGGCGACATGTAACAGCAATGCCATAGAAGTCATTCAGAATCTAAAGAGGACAGAAAAGCATCACAGTTGTTGTTGTGTGTGTGTGTGTATGTGTATAGTTTTCCACATCTCTTAACTCAGTCTATGGACAGGAAGGGTAAATCCTGTTAACCTCAGTTGGAAACCCTCTGGAACAGGAAAGGTTAACATTCCGCAGACAGAGGCATTGCTTACGCTAAGAGTCCAAGTGCCCCAATTCTAATTCCTTGTTCTTCCCAATCAAAGCATATATATACTCATTCCTCCACTTCAAAAGTGATTTCTTGAAGAATGAGCTTTTCAATTTACTCAACATAGAGCTGCTAAGAACCCACAGCGTGCCTGGCACAGTGCTAGATGGTTACCCCATAAATTTGAAGTAATGTTAGCTTTATTCTCTTATTCAGGTATTTTATTGCAAACTATTGGAAGAAGCAAACCGAGGCTCATTTCCAGCAGAGATGGTGAATAAAATCTTTTCTAATATTTCATCAATAAATGCCTTCCACAGTAAATTCCTCCTGCCGGAGCTGGAGAAAAGAATGCAAGAATGGTAAGAGGAGTCAGAGCAAACGATGCGCCTAAGGCAGCCCTACTAGACTGCCTGTTACTCACACGAGATTCTGTGTTAGTGATGCTACCAGAGCTAAAAACAAACAGTTGTGCAAAATGCTTATATTCAAACCACTGATAGAAGTTGTAGTACATTTCGTCTTTGCTTTCCAAACTATCTTTTGATTAGACAAGATGTCAGGGATAATCTGGGGCTTCAAGAATTCCGTAGCATCAATTTTTCTTTACTGTGTCATTTCTAAACTCCCTTGTAGAAAGTGCTTTTTCATTCTCTACCAATCTTATGAGCAAATTAGATTTGATGAAGCGTAGGGTATATATAGAAAGTGTACTTCGTTGGGAGTCCTGTTAATTCACTCATTCTGTAAGAAATCTGAAGGACTTGTTTCTGTGTTTTATGCAGGGAAACTACCCCTAGAATTGGTGACATTCTCCAGAAATTGGCGCCATTCCTTAAGATGTACGGAGAATATGTGAAGGGGTTTGATCATGCGATGGAACTGGTTAAAAACATGACGGAGCGTATTCCCCAGTTCAAATCAGTAGTTGAAGACATTCAGGTAATAGGACTCTTTTGTTCAAGGCTATAAATTACTTTTTCTGTACAAATCATAAGGTTTTCTAGATCTAAAATTTTTAGATTAAGAGATCTGAGACACCTAGCCAAATTCCATTCTGCTCTGAATTATGCATAAATCATGTCTGCAAAGTTAAAATATTTATTGAACGCATGCCATATACTGCACAGTAAATTCTCCGTTCAAAGGAGGCCAGGACAGCCTGGCTTTCTCAGGACCCACATAAATTTACAAAGTGAGTTCCCATTCAACTGTGGGCCTCTCTTGCTTGCTTTCAGGGCCTGAGATGTTGGAATGAATATGAGGAGTGAATGCTGTAAATCCTAACATTTTGGAAACGTAATTACAGTTGGCCCTTGAACAACATGGGGGTTAGAGGCACTGACACCCCCCCACACACACACACATTTGGAAATCCCAGTATAGTTTTACAGTCAGCCCTCCATATCCATGGTTTTGCATCCGTGAATTTAACCAACTGGGGACGATGTACTGTAGTATATATTTTATTTAAAAAAAAATCTGTGTATAAATGATCCTGCACAGTTCAATCATGTGTTGTTCAAGGGTCAACTATATTTGTTTTATTTTATTTCATTTGAGGGGGGAGCATGTTGGTCACTTTATATGTGTCCTGATTATTTTTAATTTCATCAGGCCTGGATGAAACACTTTAATAATATCATAGTAATTTCTATTTGATTCTCTAGTAAAATTGTTATGAACCTATTCTTTGCTAAGTTTAAATATTGGAAAGAGATTGTTTAGATTACATAAGATTATTTGGGTGAGGATTCTGTTGCTCCTTGACTGGTTTTTTTGTATTACACAAATTTTGTTATTGACCATTTTAATTTCACTAATTTTAAAACTATTTTGGGGGGAAGGGAGGATATAGCTCAGTGGTAGAGCGCATGCTTAGCATTTACGAGGTCCTGGGTTCAATCCCCAGTACCTCCATTAAATAAATCAATAAAACATAATTATCCCCTCTCCCCCCTCCATCCCCCCAAAAAAACAAACAAAAAAAAGTAAAATAAAAATAAAACAGTTAGACAAAATAAATTAAAAAAAAACTATTTTTTGAGTCATGTTCCTATTGATTTCTTGAGGGATTGTGATATGCATCTTAATTTATCACAGTCTGCTTTAGATTAATACTAGCCTTAATTCTGATCAAATGCAGACATTTTGCTCCATTAGACCTGTTGCTTCCTTCATGCTCCAGTCCATTAATACCAGGTGTTACCTTTATATGTGTTTTAAACCCATTAATACAGCGATGTGATCGTTGTCCTGTACAATTTCTTTTAAAGAAGTTAAGGGAGGGTGTTAAAAATGTGTCTACAAGTGCATTTACTTACCCATGTATGTACCTCTTCTGGAGTAAATTGCTTTCAGCATGAAAGTGATGTGTTTCTTGTGAGTCAGGTTGGGTAGGTATGGATTTTCTTGGCCTCTGTTTATCTGGCAGGATCTTTATTTTTTCTTCACTGTTGAATGATAGTGTTGCTAGATACAGAATTCTTGGCTAATCGTTCTTTTTCTTTCAGCTGTTTTACTGCTTTCTGTCCTCCATTGAGTCAGATGAGAAGTTAGCCAGGAGTTGCATTGATAGTCCCCTGTATGTAATGAATCTTCTCTTGCTGCTTTCAAAGTTTTGTCTTTTTTTTGGCTTTCAACAGTTTGGTTGAGCTTCTTGGATGTTTAGGATTTTTTGTTTGTTTTTGTCCTTAATCAGTTTAGGAATTTTTCAATTGTTGTTTCTTTAAAATATCTGTTTCCTCCTTAGAAATTGCTATCTTTATATACTTTGTTATACTTTTCATATTCTTCAAATATGATTATCTTTATTTCTTTGAGCATATTTATATTAGCTGTATTTAAGTCTTTGCTACATCCAAACATAGGTTAACACATTGCTGTTTATTTGAATGTCTCATTTCTTTGCTGAGTATTGTACATTTTAGATAACCTGTTGTAACAACTCTGGATTCGGATTTTCCCCACTGAGAGTAGCTATGATTACTTTTGTTTGTTTATTAACTTGCTTAGATTAAATCTGTGAACTCTCTCCTCTGATGTGCAGCCACTTATGTCTCTACTCAGTTTTTTGTTGAATATTCTTTTTATATGTGATCCTGGCCCCTATATCTGAGTAGGTTGAAGATCAAACAGTAACTGAACAGAGGTGCTTGACCACCTAGACTCTGTAAGTGTCTCTCCTCTGCTGGTGGCTCTGTCAGTGGAGGGGAGCATGTTTATTTAAAGATCAGGCTATTTTCAAGTCCACGGGGCCCGTTTATATCTCCTGCCTTCATCTCCATAACCTTGCTGTGGTCAGAGACTGTGCTCGCTTGGGTTCTCTTCTGTCTCTGCTGATTATTCACACGGCCTCGGCCAAGAAGATCAGTGTCCGACCGCGACCACAGCTTCAAGCTGTTAATAAAGTCATCGGTCCTCCGCCCGCTCATCTCAGAGATCATCACTCCCACGTCCAGGGCTGCTGGGCACGTGAGCTGTTCAGCTCTCCAAGTCAGATGAGCCGTTTTCAGCTTCAGCAGAGACGCTCCGGTCCTCACAGCCTGTCCCACCTGGCACAGCCTTCACGGTGACTGGGCTGGGGGAGCAGCAGGTGCAGCTCCGGGCCAGAATGCCACAGAGGCTCACTGTTCTCACCCAAAGTTCAGCAGTTTCTAAAACATAAAGACTCTCAGGTTGTTATGTGCCTTTGGTCAATTTCTGCAGTGCTGAAATGGTTGTTGTTGGTTTTTTTTTTTAATCAGTTGTATCCAGCTTTATAGTTGCTTTTTATAAGACAGATTTTGCCAGTGTCCCCACTCAGCCACAGCCGAAAGTCCTGCCTCTTCCCCTTCATTCCTTTTTTTCTTCCGAAACATCTCTTTTCTCCCATAATTAAGTGCACAGCTACCTTTCTGAACCCTGGCTCCTGCTTTGATTGGTTCACTAGCCCCTTTTGCTAATACTGGATTGTGGGCAGAATACAAGGTTTGTCCTTCACCGAATTCTTTCTCTTCAAGCCCTTAATGATGTCATAGTTCCCCAAGCCTTTAACCATCCATGTCAGACGGATGCTTATAGGGTCATTACATCTAGTCTCTTTCTCTACCCCTGAACTCCGGTTACAAACTGCTGAGTGCTGTCTGCACAATTCTGTGTGAACATTTGTTGTCAATACAAAGTCAACGTGTTGCATACCTATCTTTAGCTCCCAAACATTTTTTTCCACCTGACCTTTCACGCTTTGCAGAGACTAGCTTGTGGTTCTGTGACTGAATTTATTACACAACACCAATATTCTCTTATTCATCAGAGTTTGATAACTTGGCTTTATTTTCAGTTTGTCACTTTTCCTCATTTGCTGTATGTGCTCATTTGACTGTTAGATAGTATGTTAAAGGAGCTTAGCATGGAGCTCATTGCATGGTAAGTGCTCCCTACGTGGTGGTGGTGGTGGGCATTACTGTTGTTTTATCCAATATTAAAGTTCTATCTCTGCCACGTCTTCTCCACATTACAAGACAATGGTGGGATTGTGAAAGGAGTGGCAAGCTGAGACGTAACTAGCCTAGTTTAGGCTGCTGGTCTGCCACTTACAGTCATTTGACCTTAGAGAACTCTCCTAGCTTTCTCAGCTGGTTTCTTCATGTAAAAATTTTGGAATCAGCAATATTTTCCTGAAAAAAAAACCATATATATATATATAAACCTATATATAAACCTATATATATATATATAGGAGAAAATCAAATGAGATAACTAAACTTATAATATTAATATCTTGTCCTTTATTAAGAAAAGCTGTCAGCCCTCAGCTTCATGCTAATTTCAGGCTCTTTTTACTCTTCTTCGGATCTACAATAATAAGCCCCGAACTGGTTTCCCCACATCTTCCCAAAGCCACACTGCAGTAGGTGAACCTTAGTGGATCTCACACCTACTGCTGCCACTCCCCTGCATGAGATGGAGTACATCTAAGCCAAGCTTGACGTTGCTGCCCGTGGCACCTCTTCTTCCTCACCCCTGCTTCCCTGCAAGTGTATCATTTCCCAGCAGGACTCAGTTGCTCCCTTTTACTGAACATCTTTCATCTAAACGCTTTTTAAAGAGCTTAAGGGTTTCCATAAGCTGCCTTGGAGCTGCTCTCTGAGGTCCCTCTTCCTGCGCTTGCCCTTGGTCTTCCTCATTTCCCTTCCCACCAAGGCCTGCCCTCATTTTAGTTCATGTTAAGTATTCCATTCTCTGTGAGGCCTTTCATTTCTTGTTTGCATTGAATGCAAAATCATGTCATTTTAAAAAATTATTACTTCTTTTAAAAAATTTGTTTAATGTATTACGTATTTATTTATTTATTGGGAGGGTAGTTAGGCTTATTTGTTTATTTTAATGGGGTACTGGGGAGTGAACCCAGGATCTCCTGCATGCTAAGCACACACTCTACCACCAAAATCATGTCTTAGTCTTAATATAACTTTTTTATTACCTTGCAATGCACTGATCATAGTCATCAATAAATGATTTAAGAAAGTTCTTGCTTTGTTTAATATGAACAAGAACACAGCGTATTTTTCAAGTAATCTTTTCCCCTTCTTCCCATGTTAACAGCTTATTGAGAGCAGAGACTCCAGTTTCACCCTAAGAAAAGGAGATCTGTTTGCAGAGTTTGGTTTCTAATGGGAAAGAATGCTGTGAACTAATGAAAAATTAAACATTTTTGACAGATAATAAGATGCTCAGATCTTACCATTCTTGTACATGGAGTCTTTTTTTAAGTTCACAGGAAATGACATTTCTGGTAGCCTTATTATGAAATAGTTCCTGCTGAGTCCAAAGTCATTTAATACAGTAGCACTTAGGGAACCTCATTAAATAGATACTTCTTTTGAAAATCTCTGGAGTACGATTTAATAATGTGACCTCTCAAGCCCTGGGAGTGAATCATTGAGGTGGTTGCCATTGATTCGGAATTTTCTTGCTTAAAATTTTGCTTGATTTTCCTTTCTGTTCTTACACTAGTTTGTGGTCTTCAAACTTTAAAGGAAGAATCGGGGGTGTTTTAAAATGCATGTGCCTCCGAGATTGTGGTCTCATAGGTTGGAAAGGGGTTCAGAATTTCCATTTTTGATAGCACCCTAGGTGTATCTGATGCAGCTGATGCACAGACCGCACTTTGTAGGGAAATGCTGTCCTTAATTGAAGTTCTGTGTTACACTGAGTTTTTAAACTGGCTAACCTAATTTTTAAATCTTTCTTTTAAAACCTGTCTCATCACAGAAACAGAAGATCTGTGGGAACTTGACTTTGCAGCATCACATGCTGGAACCCGTCCAGCGGATCCCCCGGTATGAGATGCTCCTGAAGGACTACCTGAGGAAACTGCCCCCCGATTCTCCGGACTGGAATGATGCTAAAAGTAAACGCCCCCCTCCGCCAACCCCGCTCGACGGTGGGGTAATTTAGTGGCCAGGCAGCCTTGTGGTTCCAACATGAGGCAGGTCTCATCGCCACGTTAGTAAAATATTGATGCCAGAAAGTAACCTCACTGGAAATCGTTATCAGCACCTCAATTAGGCAGGCACTTCTGAGCCCAAATCACAGGCTTAGAGCAATGCAAATTGTATTTCTCATGCTGGCTTCACATTAATCATTAACTCTGAAATATAAAACTCTAGTCTCAGAGACATCTGAAATAGCAATACACAGTACCTTCTCATGGGAAGAATACAACCATTCAGAACTGCTCGTGCTGCAGGTTAATTAGGTGGGCTGATAGGTACCAAGACAACTGAGGTGACGTTTACTATATAAAAAAAAATAAGCAAAGTGATCTCTGTCTACTCTAAGACAGAAGAGAAAATGGTGCTATTTAGTGTCAGCTAACATTTTCCCTGAGAAAATTTTATTCCTGTTTCACTCGTTTCCTTTTCTTTTTTCATTAGATCATAATGAAAGGCTTTTTAAAGAGCTTAAGGGTTTCCATAAGAATTTTGTTTTCTTGTGAACTTTTTAAAAATCAATTAGCTGTGAAAGGAAGAATGAAAATTTAACTTCAGTTAGTACTCAACAAGTCCTAACAATTCTGGTATTCAGGCTTAAATTAAAGCATTGCTACTTTCCCTAATAATTTCTTGTCTTCCATTGTAAGTGAACCTTGATGAGAGACGAGGAACACAAAACAAAATCTCTGGTCTTGGAGGCTGGGTCTTTTTCTGAGCACAGGCTGTCTCTGATGTTTCTGCCACCATCCAAGGGAGCTGGTGACCTCAGGAACCTCTCATCTCCCCTTCCTTCCTCTACGCTTTAGAAGTATCCTCACTTAACCTTCTTCCACTTTCCACTTCATGCCCACTTTCCACTCACCTGGTCCGAGTGCTTGGTTTTAGTAGCAGAGCTAGTGGTAAGGTTGGAGGATGGATCGCCATGGCGATTCCTCCAGTTGGTGTCTTGGGCAGTGGCACCAGGCATCTTAATTTGTCTCCCTCTACCTTGATCCTACATGGAATGCACAGAATTGCCCAAATTGGGGCAATTCTCTAAAATATGAATAAAAATTCAGTTTTGTCTGCACTCAAAAACTTTGACTTATGCTAAGGTTACCTATGTCAGAAAACGATAGAGCTGGCAACATAATAGGATATTTTATTACTTTTTTGGTTAGCTGCTTACATTAAAATTATAAGGAAATCGCAGAAGTACTTCTAGAGACCTAGTAAGTAGATGGAAAGCAACAGAAGTACATTTTGTTCAGCAGTGGAACACAGACAGAAAAGTTGGTTCAGAATGATGAGGTTATTGTGGTAACAGAATTAACCCAACCAGTATTCACAAGACAGGAAAGACAGGAACACGATACAAACTTGAGAACGTTCCCTGGGGATGACCTAGCAGGAAGCCTCGGCTTCCACGGCCCTTCAACAGCAGTCCCGAAGCTCCTGCGTCACCCACATCAGGGTCCCCGTCCCCACCTCTTGCTCCCACCTGCCCTAGCGACAGAACCCTCCATCAGCACTGGCATCAGAAGGTTCCCTTTCACTTGAGCAAGGCTAGAACTGTGCAGGCTTTTCCAGAAAAGCTGAGTGTGCTTGGTGGTTAATTTGCTTGTAAAACTAGTGAAATACTTAATGTACCGCTGAAATGTGGTGGAACTTGGAGCCAAAAGACACAGGTTCAAATGTAGCCCTTCAGGATCACAGGTGTGTGACCTCAGCCAAGTCCCATCACTCTACTGCTTTCGTCTGCCAAATGGAGCTAAGATAATTTTCGCTAAAAATTGCGTAAGAATTAACAGACATAACATACATGAAAGTCCCTGACAGAGAGCCTTTGAGCAAGCCTCGCGTACACAGTCGTCGTTCGGCTTGAAGGTCCTTTATGAAGTAAACGTATCTCTGAGCCTAATCGCTGTATATGACTTTATTTGAGGAAATACTCTCCAAGTTCCAAATAATCTGCTTATTAAAAGAATTTTTGAAAGTAAGTGGAGGGGGAGGGTATAGCTCAAAGTGCTAGAGCACATGCTTTGCATGTACGAGGTCCTGGGTTCAATCCCCGGTACCTCCTCAAATAAATAAACAAACAAACAAACAAACAAACCCAGTTACCTCCCTCCCCCCCACCAAAAAAAAAAAGAAAGTAAATGGAAATTGTCCCTGCTTTTATTGTGTATCTTTGGTTTCAAATTTCTTCTTACTGTTTTGTATGTTATTCAGCTGTCTAGTAGCATAGTAAGGATGAAATAGATTTACTTTTCTTTTTTTTTTTTCCCATTTAGAATCACTTGAAATTATATCTACAGCAGCAAGCCATTCTAATAGTGCAATAAGAAAAATGGTAAGTGGTTTTCAGAAGATATGAGAATCTTCGAGTTAGAGAATTGCCAATAATAGAGTCTTACATTATCTACAGGTTTGGAGCAAAATGAATGTGAACAAAAGAGATTGTTTATAAAATGACCAGTGTTATCTGGACTAATCCTCTCCCCCTTCTCCCAGGTTTCAATGTGCTCATAATTGACATACTTTCTACCAACATTTATGCTTAGCTCCAATCCCTTCTGAGTTATCTATATTTTAGCTAAGGTCACTGATGACAGCTGGGAAGGTGAAACCTCCTTATATCTGACCTTGCTGTGTTTTGTTTTAATTTCCTAGGAGAACCTAAAGAAACTCTTAGAGATTTATGAAATGTTGGGAGAAGAAGAAGACATCGTGAATCCTTCGAATGAACTAATAAAAGAAGGGCAGATTCTCAAGCTAGCAGCTCGGAACACGTCAGCACAGGAGCGCTACCTTTTCTTAGTGAGTTTTGTTGTATGATCAAGTCACATGAGAATAACTCATACACATTGTTACATCCATCTTTGAAAAACAGGATGCTTCCTTGCCCACCAAAGCAATTATATCCAAACTAGTTTAGTTAATACTGTAACTGAAACTTGTTCTTTCAAGGACACATCTTCTTTTGAAGTATTTTTTCTATAATTTTTCTATGTGCTTACCATGTCTGACTTACTTCAGTGTCACATGGTGAAGACAATCTAACCTTTCCATGATGACATAGCCACCAATGTGTATATGGGGACAACTACTTTTAATGTTTCTAGTTTGAAGACATATATTGGCAAGGTTACAAATCCTGTGCCTCAGACATCCACGTGAAAAGTACATGAGTTTGCTGCGTAATTCTGCTCACTACAGTCCGTCCCTGTCCCTTCCTTCCCACTTCCTGGAAATGATAGTCTGGGGCTTATGGGAAATGTAAGCATTCTTGCTGGGGCATCCAGGCTATTATACTTTCAGTCTCTGTTAATTACAACTCCTTTCTGTATATAATATGATAAGATAATAATCATAATAATAGCTAACACTGAGTAACAATAAATTAACATTGAGTGATAGCTCAGTAAACATTAGCTGGAACTATGGTTGTAATTATAAGCAAAGAAACAGACACATTGATAAGGAGGCTGCCCACTGCCTGGCACATGACACATTCTCAGAATGATGTTCACGTCTGATTTTTCTGCTGTAAGGCAGTCATCTCACCAGCCTTAGTATGAGTTTCTGGGGGTTTAGAGGTTTCTGTTACAGCCTCCCTTGAAAGGAAAATTTATAGGAACTAATTATCATGCAGAAGGTGTTCAGTATCTCATTTTTAAAAAAGAACATTTGGTCACCATATGGTCCAGCAGATCTACTTCAAGCTTGTAGGACTCAAGAAAATTGAAACATGTCTACACAAAATTTGTACATGAATGTTCATCACAAAATTAATCATTATAGCCCAAAAGTGGAAACAACCTAAATGTTCATCAGTCGATGAATGGATAAACAAAATGTGGTGTGACCATGCAGTGGAATATTATTTGGCAGTAAAAAAGAATAAAATATTGACACATGGATGAACTTTGAAAACATTGTATAAAGTGAAAGAAGCCATTCACAAAAGGCCACATTGTATAATATGATTCCATTTATATGAAATGTCCAGAAATGCATAAAGGCAGGAAGTAAGTAATGGTTGCCTAGGGCTAGTGGGCAGAAAGAAATGGATACAAGGTTTCCATTTAGAGTCATGACATGTTCTGGAATTAGATGGTAGTGATGGTTGCACAATTTCCAACAATATACAAACCAAGACTTACACATTTTAAAAGGGTAAATTTTATGGTATATGGATTATATCTCATTAGCTTTAAGAATGTATAGATATTATCCAAATTAACCATAAAAGTCTTCATTTGAGCTCAGCAGAAAACTTCAACTTGGAGAGGTTCTACAGAAAGCTAAATGTAAATCAAGGACATGTGCTGTCATGTCAGGGTTCAGATGTCTGTCTGTTTTGGAACGTACGTTTTGTTATTCAGGTATGGTGAGGCCAAGAGATCGGAAGATGATTGCCATTGAAAAGACAGTTACACTCACAGCTCCCCAAAGAAGGGGGCGTGCCACACCGTGGAGGGGCTGCATGAGAAAGCACCAGGGTTGGTCAGGAGACAGAGGGAGCAAGCAGAAAATGTGGATGAGAGCCTTTATTGTCGTTTCTTGCAGAAAAAAATGGGCAAGGCAGGATAAACGTGCTTAGAATTTGCTAGTTGTAAATGATTTCATTAAGCTCCAGGGCACAAGGGCCGTTGCCTGCTGCCTAGCCTTAGGGTGCTTAGGGCAGGGGCGTGCTGGCCCAGAGTGTGAGAGCTCAGTAGACGAGGGGTTAGGTTGTAGGCTCTGGATCTGTTGGTTTCCGTACGAAAGTCAGGCTTGCAGGTGAGTCATTTACTATCTCTCAGAATTGAGTAGCCCTGAGAGGTGCAGTCCTCCAGGAGGGGCAAAGCCCCACGATGTCAAAGCATCAAAAATCCAAATTAAAAAGATGTGCTTAATGCACTATTCTGGGCAAGATGCCTGAGAGCCAGTGCCTCCGCTTTGTCTTTGCCCCGCCTTGAGTGGCTTAGGGAGTGTCCTTTCCTCTCTCCCACATTAGTGTTACAGTTTCTAGAGTTAAACTTTTAGCTCTGTGTCTAACTGATTGTCTTGGTTTAATGTTCACATTTGAGGATTGTTCTGGAAATAGTTTTAGATTGAATACCTTAATGCAGAGCTAAATTAAGCAGCTCTTTGGAAGACAGATGGCGAAGAGCCTTGGGGGAATACAGCAGTGGTGACTTTGAGGAAAGGGACCCATCTTGTTCCAGTTATTACAAGCTATCAAACATATCAGCATTGCCTCCTAGGAGAAGGGAGTCATCCAGCAGGAATTTCAGGAAAGCCATATTCACCTTTTGAAGACCATCTTAGAAGCATTTCCTGTAGTGTTCATTCTTTTCATCCTAACTTGTCACGGAGTCTCTCCTCTCCCCAGCACATTCCCGTGGAGCATCTTGTTTCTCTTCTCTGCAGAAACTCAGAAGTACCATTTTAATTTTGCTTCCTCTGTGGAGGTAAAATGAGGGCTAGTTTTCTATCTCCTGTTCTGGGGATATTACATTCATAAATCTAAGAAGCCAAACTATATTTAGAATCCGATTTCAGCTTTCAAATGAATTTTTTTTATTTTATTTATTACTGTATTATTTAATTATTTTATTTTTAGGGGGGTGGTAATTAGACTTGTTTATTTCTAGAGGAGGTCCTGGGGATTGAACCCAGGACCTCATGCGTGTTAAGCATGCGCTCTACCACTTGGGCTATATCCTCCCCGCTCAAAATGGTGTTTGCGTGTTTCCATATTTGCTTGCCTCCATGCCATGCTTTTGATATTAATGTAGGGAAGTCTTGAATAAGTACATAACCACCCCTGACATCTGAAAGTTAAAACAAATCACCAGGATATCCTGTAGAATAATGAGAGGTTTTATTCCAGGCCCTTTGGAGTTCTAGTCCTCATTTCCCTGTGGCTTCACAGTTAGGTTTTTCCACCCCTCTTGACTGACTGACTTTGAATACAGATGAGGCACTGGAAGTTTTCTCCAACAATACATTTTTACGTTCTAAAACAAACTTCAATGAACTGTCACTAGTGAGACACGAAAGTGAATTGTTTCGATCAAATAACGTACTTTATTTTAAGAGACTTGAAACAAATAGTTGAGGGGTGCTGGAGCCCCAGAAGGGGGCACCTCCCTACACTTTTAATAAATTTGAGACTTTCCTCTAGGTTTTGGCACAGCCTAGGGCTTCTGGAGCTTGCCAGCCCAAGACTGCTTTGTCAGTAGCTACTTCTGAGCTCTAGGCGGGGAATGAAAGGAATGTCCTGGAACAGAAGGGCTCTCCTACACTGAAAGGGAAAGTCCGTCTACGTGCCGCTGCACTTGCTGTAACTTCCTCTTTCAGCACCAGCAAAAACCCATAGAAAGTGACAGTGGCTTCTGCCATAGGAGCGTGGTTCACAGAGGGAACTGGACTAGCTGCTTAATTCCTTTATGCATATGGCCTTGACGTCTTTGTAAGCCACGTCACCTTCGCCTCTGGGAAGAAGGAAAAGGGGATTTATTGGCTAGCAGTAGACTGTAGAGTTATGCAAGGTTATATAGTTATTGACAGTTTAGGGTGTAAAGTCGCTCTTAGGAAGAAGAGGGGAAATGTAACCTTGAAAGCATGGAAGGGAAAGTGAAATGCCATTATCAGATGGTCGTCTCGTTATGAGCATAACCACCAAAAGCAAATGCTAAGAACCTCCATGTTCATGGACTTGCGTTTTTATAAGATGACAAGACTTTGGTGAACTTTATAAAGCAAGCTTGAGTCCATGTATGGATCACTCAGACATTTTATGCCGTAATGTTCCCTCTGTCACTCAGTTTCCTAAGAAATATGGTGGTGGTTGCTATCTTTGAAAGTGTGAGTGAGCCTTGTCCATTTTGGTGGCTCCCTGCATCTCCTGTGCTGTTCATAGACTTGACCAAATCCCCTCCTGAGAAGGCTTTGATGGAAGAGAGAAAGAAATGTGAATGTGCAGGCCAGCTGTGGCCTTAATCAAGTTGGGATGGTGATGAACCTTTCGCTGTATTTTCAGATCTCTACATCCATGTACTTCAGTGCGGCTGACTGCCTTACTTAGAATACAGGACAGTTAGTAATGAGGTCATGTTCTCTTCTAGAGATGTAGGTGCAAGATGTGATGCTCAAATATATCTGATACAATGTATTTAGTGCCTTTTATTTCTGCATTATCCAATATGGAAATGAAATTTATGACACTGGTTATAGAAATTTGCAAGGTAATACGCAAGGAACAACTGGTGGGAAATTTGCCTTCAGAATGAGTACAGTGGACATTGTCATGTAAACATGTTGAATTGTTTGAAATATCCATCAATATTTCCTATTGATGGTTAGAGCTAATTAGAGGGCCTGACAAAATAGGACATTTTCCCTCCTTTAATCCTCTCAATAACCTATGACTTTTACAGATAATCCTAAAACATGAGAGGTCATATCATACATAGAGGTTCAAGTTCCCAGGTGACCTTATCTTACAGAAATATATATAATCCTAGAAATAGAAATAATGTTACAAACATAAATATGAAATAGGAAGGTAAATATGGACCTTCTTTAGGAGTCTGCCTACAAATTAACCCAAATATTTAGACTTTCATCCTTTTGCATGTTTTAATATATTTACAAACCTTGCTTTGTTCTGATTAGGAGGAGTTGTTCATTTTTGACTTAAAAGTGAGGCACTGGGAGGGTATAGCTCAAGTGGTAGAGTACGTGCTTAGCATACACAGGGTCCTGGGTTCAATCCCCAGGACCACCTCTAAAATAAGTAAACCTAATTACCTCCCCCCGCAAAAAAAAAAATTAAGTAAACTTAAAAAAAAAAGTGAGGCACTAATTTGATCCACTTCCAAAATAAAGTCGTTCATTTTAAATAAAGACTTTTTGCTAAAATAGATGACTTTTCTGTTAATTCGTACATGATAAATTCTTAAACAAGATGTGGGGCAATGTGAAAAAAGACTTACTTTTTACATGGGATTTAGTGTGCTAACCTCACACATTCTACTGAAATTCAAGCTAATAATTTGGCTACTTTTTTTAAACTTAACATTAAACACATTGGTGAAAATAATTGCTAAATATTACTCTTTTCCTCTAAGAGCTAATTGTAGACTTAATGTCTAAGACACGACAATTAGAAATTTTATTGTCTAAGAGCTTCAACTTACGTGGTTGAGAATTTTAGTTCCTGGTATGTAGAAGGTCCTTAATAAATTGTTGCTGAATTTAATTTCTATAACTAATTTCCTTAGTAGTACAAAGTGATGATTGACTTACTTAAACATCAATAAAATATATATGAACCAACAAAGGGAAGTATATGTTACAAATTTTAAAATATAATTTTAATACAGGCATAAAAGCTCTATAGCGCTTAAGTAATTTTGCTCACATGGAAAGTGTGAGATTTCCTGGAAACTCCCTGGAATTTCTGTCTGGGGCTGCTTTCGGTGTTGGTCACTTTCCTCTTGTTGTTTTTCGTTGTCCTGTGTATTGACACGTGTTCTGTCTCCTCGCAGTTCAACAACATGTTGCTTTACTGTGTGCCAAGATTCAGCTTGGTGGGCTCCAAATTCACGGTTCGAACCAGGGTTGGCATCGATGGAATGAAAATCGTGGAGACGCACAATGAGGAGTACCCGCACACTTTCCAGGTGTCCGGGAAGGAGAGGACGCTGGAGCTGCAGGCCAGGTGAGAGGGGCCGTCCTGCCACACAGCTTCCCCAAGCAGCAGAATAATTCTGAGGCTCTTCCCCAAGTCTGGCTGGACACAAATGGAAGATGTAAGCTCTTGAAAGTCAGGAATCACATCTTTCCCTTTTAATTCCTCCGTAGTGCCTAGGATAGTGGTTTTGCAAACAGTAAGCAAAGTTAAGTAAGTAAAGTGACTCTTTAGACGGACAAGGTGCAGAGAATGAAGTTGTTGCATTCAAGCCAGTGTTTTGAGTCTTACAGGAAACAGTTCTCTCGTAACCCTTCTTCTCTCCATCCTTCCTTTCTGGTCCAAAAATGTTTATTGATGCTTATTATTCCATGTTTAATTCTGAAGCTTTAACTATCAGTCCTCAGAGACTCTGCATTCAGAGGGCTTAATGGCACTTTGATGGAAAGAATGTTTGGAGGAGGCATGTTGAAAAAGATAATGGTTTTCCTGCCATGGGTAAAGATACATGAAGGGGGCCATTTGGGGCTCTGTAGCCTCTGGCAACCAGGACCTCTTCTTACATATACAAATGCTTTATTGAGCGGGAGAGAAAGAGCTGGAAGTCTAGCATCCACGCCCCGGCATAACTAGGTTTGGTGGGAGGGGGGGAACCATGAGAACCACTGTAGTAGATCACAGCTACGTCGTACATGAACCTCTGGAAGACAGGGTGTCCTCAGATTTTTAAAAATCTGCTGTAGAAGGGGAGGGTATAGCTCAAGTGGTAGAGAGCATGCTTAGCATGCACGGGATCCTGGGTTCAATCCCCGATACCTCCTCTAAAAATAAACAAATAAACCTAATTACCTCCTCCACCAAAATTTTTTTTTAATCTGCTTTAGAAGAGCATTATTCACTTATCCTATGAAAGCCGACCATGGTGAAAACAGACACTGCAAAAGATCGCAGGTTAGAGGTTTGAGTGCCAGTCTCAGCTCTGATGGTTCTGACACCCTAGAATCCGTTGAGGATCAGAGTTCTTCTGTTCCTTTCTGCTCTTTTGCACCAAAAGCATGTGATTCTGGCTGCTCAGGTGAACCCATCCCTGGATGGTTATAACTATGTACCAGCTTAAATTTGACACTTTTGAAAGAGAATAAATTATTTTTAAGCAGGATTCTGTGGCCCAGGGAGTCAGGGAATTGGTGAAATTCCAGACTCGAAGGTGTAGCAGGCTGGGAGAGTTTGAAGGCATACCTAGCTAGTTCTTTGACTTCCCACAGAAAACATAGACTGAACCTGCCTTACTTAGGGAGCTGCCAGGGAACTGCTCTGAGGGTTAAAAGGTGGCATTTCAAGCATGAGTTAAAATGGTGGAGGACTTGGCTTTGAATGTCCTGCTTTATCGTGGTGGGGTTTAGACCCCAGCCGTCACACCCAAGAGAACAATGTATGTGGCTGTGCTTGGCGACTCCTGGCCTGAGTCCTCACTCAGTGGTTGGCTCCCTGAGTGACTGGCCGTGGCAACAGGGAGGACTCATCAGAGGAGTCTTCATTGCCGATGAATGAAGGTGCTGCTGGCTCTGAACATCTACAACCTGAGAGATGTCTCTGAACAGCAGAAGAGACACTATCGAAGTTTCTTGTGTTGCCTAAGTTGGGGACTCCAGCAGGTTGGGCTGTTTGCCCTTCAGGATGGGGCTGATGCATGAAAAGGTTTCTGAAGTACAGGCAGTCATCATTCTGTAGCGTTCCGGTATGCACTATTGGATGCCTTCCAATTAGTATTGAAAACACATTTTTTTCTTAAATTTCTTATTCCTCTAATCTCTGCTTTAGTTGTATTTATGATTATATGGTGAATCAAAGATCTAAATGAAGTGTGATTACCTTTCTTCTAGTCTATCATGAATGACTCTTTCAAGAATGTAGGCAAACATTGAAATTCTCAGAAAGTCAGATGGATTGCATGCAGCCCCAAATTGGATATATATTTGGTGATATTTAAAGAGAATTCACTTCTGAAGCCAACATGGCGGGGATGGGGGGATGGATGTTCTGCTTTACCTACTAAATAAGTCAGCCTCAAGATGACCTCTTCACTCAGTTTCCTCTTCCATATTCAAAAGAAAATAAACTTTGGAATCAAAATTAATTTTTATAGCTTTTGTTCAGTGGTTTTCTGTTACTAAATGGATATAAAAGTATAGTAAGAAGTAAATTAAACAAAGGAGTAAAAAGAAAATCTGCCCTGACTGGGAAAGTGAAACAAAGGGTATTAAAGATTTGTCAGATTAGTTTGCATCTAAAAGGCTAAAAGCAGCTAGCAAATAACTCTACTTCCAGGACAGCAGAGTTGATTTGGGGGGCGCAGGGCACAGCATTAGGGAGAAATGTTTTTTGAGGGGCAAAATCGAAGCCCTCCCCTCGCCCCCAAGGTTCTCGGTTCAAGGATTCCCCAGTGAAAGATCAGCAGAACCTTCCGTCTGACAAGCCCGGAGTCCGGCCGCGTGCTTGGCACGTCGTGATCTCAGTAATACATTTGTGGGAGAGACGGATGTGCTCACAGGAGCAGACCTCCTGCCAGACACACGCATGTGTGATACCGTGGGGCTGCGGCATGCGGCCCGGCACTGGGACCCAAGCTTAGCCCCAGCCTACTGAACACAGACAGAGCTCCCGCTTCACAAGCCCTCAAGGCAGAGATCTTACGGACTCCACAGTCTACTAAGGGCAATTTTTTCCTAATCTATGACAGCAGCCAGCTGTCTAAGCTACCTGCCAGGGAGATGAAATAAGGAACCTTTGCCTGGACAGGAGAATGGGGAGCCTGACTATAGTCAACAACGTTTTTTCCCAACAGGAAATTATTAAGTGCTGGGCTTCATTAATCTGTGAAACCTCCTTCCTGCAGGCATTTAAATTTTTGTTGTGCTTTATCTACAGTGAGTTAGGTATGCTGTTGCCTGAAGCCTCTTAGCAAAATACAGTTAAATTGTTTATCAAAGGAAACCTTAAATAGCTCCCTGAGGCCTTATAAAGGTATTTTAGATTCTCAAGGATAATTGCGGTCATTTCTTAGATGGGCTGTGACTAGCAGCCTTTGAAAGCCTCGCGTTTTTGTAAAGTGGAATTAGAAGATGACTCCTGCGTCTAGTGTAATACTGGGTCTACAGATTCCTGATACAGATGATGGTTGTTAAATGGAAGCCAAACTTAACTCTCCTCATCAAAAACTATGCGTACCAAAGTAAGTAAATAGTCTAAAACTACATTTATGAATTAATTTATTCAACTGCCTGAGATTCGGTCTAATTTTTATTATAACTCCTTCTTGGACATCCCTGAATTTTCTAGAAAGTTGAAATAACATAAAAACATAGTTTTATATACTAGGTGTAATCATTAATATTCTATTTACTTTTTTTTTTTTTTTTGGTTTTAGTTCTGAGCAAGACAAAGAAGAATGGATCAAGGTAAACCTGATTTCTATTTTCATTTTTATTTTGTTATAACCCCCATATGTGTACCCAAATGTGCATATATTGTCGTATTATGCATGTATTATAGTCATCAGAATAAGGTCACTTGAGTTTTTAAGGTGACTCCCATTTTAGATAATTTGTTTAATAAAGTGTTTGCATTGATACTTTAGTGTGTGCTTTGAATTTCATGTGTATGTTAGGCACTTCAGGAGACGATTGATGCTTTCCATCAGAGGCATGAAACCTTCAGAAATGCGATTGCGAAGGATAATGACATCCACTTAGAGGTCTCTGTAAGTTGAATTCAATTCTTAACTTTAAATTCTTTTCTCCTTGCGCTTGCAGGAGATCTGTCTGGTCATTTTGTGACCCGGCCTTTTCCCGTTGGCGGTGCCAGAACTGGCTATTTCGATAGAATCTCCTTCTTAGGGAAATACAGTAGTGAACGCCTTTTCACGCTGCTTAAACTTCTTTGAACCTTTCGTTTCTTTTCCTGCATCTTGAGTTTCAAAACACTGTATGAGCAGTGTTGTTAAAGTGCTTTTTTAAATAAATGAATTAATGAATGGAAATGACGGTTTTTGCCATTAAAATTGAATCTCCTTCCCCTGTTTAGACTGCTGAGCTAGGGAAACGGGCCCCGAGATGGATACGGGACAATGAAGTGACCATGTGCATGAAATGCAAGGAGCCTTTTAATGCGCTGACAAGGAGAAGGCATCACTGCCGAGCATGTGGACACGTACGTGAGGTTTCCTGATCATTAAGGTTGCCAGTCACTAGATAAAGTGTTGTCAAATCATCACCTTGGAAACAAAGAAATCATTCAATACGTCACTTAATTGATAAACTTATTTTGGTGATAACTATATGCCAAGCTCTGTGCTGGGTCCTGGAGACAAAATGGTAAAATGATAGCTTCATCGAGCTCACGTTCTAATGGAGAAAAATAGACCAAAGTCAAGTAAACAGACAAGCATTTCAAATTACTGTAAATGCAATAAAGAAACAGGATGTTAAAATGGGGGATAATGGAGAAGGATTTGGAACCAGTTTTAGTGAGGAAAATGAATACCTGTATGAAGGGTTGACATTTAAGCTGACGTCTAAAAGGTGATAAAGAGCTAACCGTGAAAAGCGAGACGGCAAGAACGTCCAAGCGGTGAGCAGCAGTGTGCCAGAAGCCCCGAGGCAGGAGGAAGCTTGATGTATTCTTGAGGCTGCCAGCAGGTCACACAGCAGGAGCTTAATGAGCGAGGGGAAGCGTGGGGTAAGAAGTAGGAGAGGTGATAACCCAAGGGGTCAGTGACTGAGGAAACGAGATGGGGCCTAAGCTTCTGTGGAGATTCAGGCTTCTGACGAGGAGAGGGAAACTTCCCTCCCTGCTGACAGGAAGGATGAAGGGAGTGATGCGTGCAAACGTGGGTGTCTTTTTGATTTGGTGGTGGGAAATGGGGGGATTGAGATCTGATGAGACCTACCTGTTCACTGAAGCATCAGGAAGAGCCGTCATCTGAAAGTGAAGGGGGAAGGAGGGAGCAGCGGGGAGACTTGAGAACGAGGGCCAAGCATGAAGTAGTGGTCTCTGGGCAGGGTGAAGTGAGCCTGCCCAAGAAGCAAAGGTGGACTGCTGGGTGCCCATCAGACGCTGATGGTTCCAAATGTAAAAGGACACGCTAATCCATTTAAAGCAGTGATTTCTCTAGCAAGATTCAGCTACTCAGGCCAGATGAGGCAGGTGATGGGTTTCCAGCGATTGAGTTGTTTCATGTGGAAAAAGTGAGAAGGCACAAAAGCATGACCTGAAAGCTGGAGAGAAGTAGGGGCAAGTTTTGGAGGGTCCTTGTAAACCAAGTTGAGGATAAATACTTTCTCCCAAACAGCAACGGGCAAACGTAGAGAAGGGCAGGGACCGTGGTGTCATGACCAGTATATTGTTAGTAAGCTTTAGTGTGTCCGTCCTTATTTATAGCTCTTTTAGGTTATTCTCAGGTACACTGCGGATTTATTCGTTGTTTTTTCCTAAGTTTTGACTCAGACAGTTTTATAATCAAAATTTAACTGATAGCAAACATCTTTTTCCCCCCCTCAGGGTAAGACTTTTTTTAAATCTATTATTGAGTTTGCTCGAATGATTTCAGATATTGACATAATTACCTTCAGTAAATAAACAAACAAAAATGTTTGAATGTACTATGACATAATTTGAAAATAAATAAGATAGTATTTGATATGATTGCAGATACAGACATGTTCAATTCTGAATCCTATAATACCTTCATTGTAATTATGAGAAACAAGTGAACATTTTTTATTATGAATTGTACATGCTGTGAAACTAAACCAAAAGTTTTACTAGTATTTATATTTCTTTTTGTCCACTATAAATGGGGGAAGATATGCTTCTAAAAGCAAGAAAATAATTTTTCAAACTATAAGAGTCTTTTTTTAAACAGTTACCCTATAAGAATTAGAAAAAAATACCATTCAGTAAAAAGTAGCATGCAGTTTGCCTATAGTTGTTCATTTCTTGGCATTCTATAAATGTTTACTACATAAGTGGTGAGCAAAATATACAAGGACAGTTTTTCATAGAGCTTCCAGCCTACTGTGGGTGACAAACATTAATTGAATAATCACACAAGTACATAATTAAAAATTATAATCAGTGTGTGAAAAAAAGTACACGGAAGTTTAGTAGCACGGTGATAGGAGATGGGCTGTTGTCAGGACGTTGGAGGAACCTTCCTTGAGGAAGTGACGTTTGAGTCAATATGTGAAGGATGAGCAAGAGTGAGCTCGCGGAAGCAGAGGTGAGAGCGGTGGGGGGCACCGTTCTGTCAGGGCTGTGAGAAGCCAGTGTCACTGAAGGTGGAGTAAGAGGGGCAGATCATGCAGGCCTTCAGAGGCCATAATTTAATTTGTTCATGATCCAAGAGCAAAGGGAAGACTTTAAAGGAATTTAAATCGAGGAGAAACATATCAAATTAGCATTTTTAAGAAAGCCTCCGGTGCTGTTTGGGAAATAGCTTAGAGCCAGACTAAGAGGAGTGGCCTGGACGCCAGTAAGAATGCTCCCAGGACCAGTCCCGAGGCTCTAATGATCCAAACCAGGACACTGCTAGCTTGGACTTAGGTGACTGCAGGGAAGGTATAGAAAAACGGACAGGTTGAAAAAATTACCTAGGAGGCAGAATCAGCAGGGCTCTGCAATATGGTGAGTTCATGGGGTGAGGTAGACAGAGGCGTCGGCATGACACCTGGGTCTCAGACTCACCACGACGGGGTAGAAGGCTGTGTTGTTTCCTGCTGTAGGAAGCGCGATGAGAGGGGAACATATTTGGGGGGTGGAGGGGTATGTGTGATAAGGAGAAGGCTGAGGGCAAGGATGGCCACGAATTCATGTGGGAGGGTACTGACGAAACATCCGGAGGTGTGAAGTGTGAAGATCTGGACCAAGCCTTTGAGGATCTCCCACCTCTCGGCCAGGAAGGGAAGGAAGGGCAGGCAGAACCCGTCACAAGCAGCCTTTCAATGCCGGGATAGATACTCCTTGTGCCCCTGGGGATCTTCTTAGTCTAATACAAACTGGCTTTTTACATTGAACTTTTTCTCATTTCTCATCACCTATAGCTGACTATTGCTTACACCTTATTATTTTTAAATAATTGTATTCTTCACTCTTTTTTTTAAAATTTAAGGTGGTTTGCTGGAAGTGTTCTGATTACAAAGCTCAGCTTGAATATGATGGTGGTAAATTGAGCAAAGTGTGTAAAGACTGTTATCAAATAATAAGTGGATTCACAGACAGTGAAGAAAAGAAAAGAAAAGGAATTTTAGAGGTATGAAATATTAAATATTGGATGTCTTTTAGATTTTTATACTAGGATCATAGAATATTCTGTTAACCGTGCAGAATACAAATAATATATTTTGTTATTTCTCTTAGTGTTTAACAATTTGGACTATGACAAGCAAGAATTATATACTTCTGTTCTATGTTGCTGACTCTTGAGTAGGGGGAGGGTATAGCTCAAGTGGCAGAGCACATACTTAGCATACACAGGGTCCTGGGTTCAATCCCCAGGACCACCTCTAAAAATAAATAAACAAACCTTATTCCCCCCCAAAAAAATAACAAAAAACAAAATAAGATAAATAAAAATAAAATATATTGCTGACCCTTGGGATCATGCTTAGCTGTATGGAAAGAAAAGGGGCAGTGCTGTGTTAACCAGTGTGCATTTGAGAGTGAAATCCAGTCCTTCCTTGGTGTCTGTGGAGGATTGGCTCCAGGACCGCCCCACAGATACCAAAATCCATGGGTGCTCAAGTCTCTTATACACAAAGGCTTGGTACAGTCAGCCCTCCTTATCTGCACGCTCTGCATCCACAGTTACAAAGGGCCAATCGTGTACTGATTTTGTGAAGTCAAATATTAAGAGTATTAATTGGCATCTCTTCTAATGCCTGACTTATTATAATATCCACATATTTTTAATAGGAAGGTTTTTCTCTCATTTTCATCATATTGGCTTTGAAAACTACTGTATGAAATTTTTAAAATTCAGCAATGTTATTACCTGAAAAACTCTTCTAACTTACTGCATTAAAAGCATCATTTAATGGCCAGTGACAGTAATCTGAGAACTGCATTGAAATATTATTGAAATGCCTCATAAGTGGATTTGACTCATGTTTTAGATAAATTCAGACCCAAGCCCAGGAACTCTAGTGCAGCTTGTGTCTGAAGTGAGTTTCACACCCAGAGATATAATAATATAAAGGGGTAAATATAAGGCTTTTGGGACAGATAGCCTCCAAGATAGCCTGGAAGTCTACGAAGAGTAGGTTCATGATCAAAATTCCTATGTACCTAAAGTCATAGATATACTTGGTTTATTAAGAATATCTGGGGGAGGGGATAGCTCAGTTGGTAGGAGCACATGCTTAGCATGCATGAGGTTCTGGGTTCAATCCCCACTACCTCCTCTAAGAATAAATAAATACTAAGTAAACCTAATTACCTCCCTCCACCAAAAAAATAAATAAATGAACCTAAAAAACCCTATGGTTTAAGAAATAGACTCACAGACATAGAACACAAACTGTGGTTACCGAAGGGGAAATATGCATAATAAAAGCCATGGTTTAGTCTTTCCCTTTTTAGCCGGTGATTTATATTGGGAGACGAAGCAGGAAACTATAAGTGGCCCTGCAAAGACTTACTGCAATTTTAAAACCTTCAAAATTATCTCAGGTATAGGATAAAGATTGCCAGTAAGTATTTACCTCTTGGCCGTGGCATTCCTACGTAGTGATGTTGGTACAGCATTGTGGCTAAGAGTTCAAACTCTGGATCCAGATGCAAATCCTAGCACACCAGTTCCTAAATGCGCAATCTCAGGAAAGCTCTTTCATCTCTCAACCTGGTAATAATGAAAGTAGGAACTACTCCAGGGGAGGGTGTAGCTCAAGTGGTAAAGCACATGCTTAGCATACATGAGGTCCTGGGTTCAATCCCCAGTACCTCCTCTGAAAATAAATGAATGAATAAACCTAATTACCTCCCCCCTTAAAAAAAAAAGGAAAGAAATAAACAATAAAAATTAACAACAATTAAAGATAGTAGGAACTACTCAGGGTTGGTGTGAGGTTTAAATGAAATGAAACGCATAGCGAGCTAAGAAAAGTGCCTTGTGGAGAAAGCAGTCAAGGAATGTTTAATTTTATTTAAATTCAGGGTCTGGTAACACAAAGTTAAAATGGTCTTAAATGTTTTCCCATGCTAGTAGTAGGTCTAGACGAATGTTCAAATAATAATTGCCGGTGAATCTTTTTTGGGACAACCCCAGAAGACGTTTTACGTAAACACATTGTAGCTTAACGAATGTTCTCTTAAGTTGAATTACTTCTCTAATCTGGTTCATTTATGTTCATTCTCTCACTTGCACTCCTGCTCTCCATCTCATTCTTCTAGATTGAATCGGCAGAAGTATCTGGAAACAGTGTGGTGTGCAGCTTCCTTCAGTACATGGAGAAGTCGAAACCTTGGCAGAAAGCTTGGTGTGTGATCCCCAAGCAAGACCCCCTCGTGCTGTACATGTACGGGGCACCCCAGGTACCCAGCCAGCTTCTTTCTGAAGGAACAGAGGGAGGCCCGTGGGCACTGAACCTAAAACCCCTCCATGTGCTTCTCTATAGGACTGAACTCAGAGTTTCACTGTTTCGTTACAATTGGAAAATAATATCTAAAATAGAAGCTTATTTAGACTGACTAATTCCCTCTATAGCCAATAGTTCTTTCTGCTTGTTTATGGATCATTTGCCCCCTTCTCTCATTCCCATTCAGTGGGTTTGAGGAAATGTGGGTTGAGTTAGGAAAGGGCATGGGGAGAAGGGGTTGAATCAAAGGAGAAGGAGCCTTTTTAATGATGGGAAATATTAGCAAGCCCTTTTTTCCTGAATAGAGGGATGCCTGAAAAAGAAAAGAATGTGAGAGGAAGGTGAATTTAAATCAACTTTGTAACAGTTTGTTGAGACCTTCTGTTCACTGATCTGAGATGAATCTGTGGGAACAGCAGATTTGAGCCAGACACTATGTATGGATTGTGCTGTGCGTAAAAAACCAACAACACTTAAACCAATTGTGCGTTCATCTGGGAACATAAAATGTTTAATGTAGCCTATATCTACATTGAGGGCTAGCCAAACTTTATTTTAGAAATAGATTAAAAATGCCAAGGTATATATTTTATTCTGTCTCATTGTTTTTCCTATAATCTTTTCCAGTCCGTAAGTAAATTGATGCATGAATGAATGAAACACCAAATAAAACTGCATCTGGTAGTGAAATACATCATTAATGCTTGCTGGACTTGTACAGTAGGGTGATTATCCCCCTTTTCACTGAATGAGGAGTTGAATGGGCTCTCTCACAGAGAAGGAGGTGTGCGGTCAGTGTATTCTAGCCGATTTAGACGTCAGTGCTCATTCGTGAATTCATTCGGGCAACACGATCAGCGGCCTTATGCTCGGGCACCGTGCTAATAAGCAAGGGATTGCCTCTCTCTCCACGGAGAGCTCACAGTGCAAGTCTTTGTAGGAAAGGTGGTAGAAAAGGAGGTTTAGTGGGAGCTCGATCACATCTCACTGTGTTTTTTCTCTATGTGCCACGTTTTCCCCTTAGGACGTCAGAGCGCAGGCCACCATTCCACTCCTGGGCTATGTCGTGGACGATATGCCGAGGAGTGCAGACCTGCCACACAGTTTCAAACTGACCCAGTCCAAGTCCATGCACAGCTTTGCTGCAGACAGTGAGGAGCTGAAGCAGAAGTGGCTGAAGATCATCCTCTTAGCTGTCACAGGTGAGACACCAGATGGTCCTAGCAAGCAGCCAGACGCTTTGGACGAGCATCCTGAATCTAAGAGACAGTCCGAATGCTGAGCCCCAGGACCGTCCGTGGTGTGGGGGCCAAGGGAGTCTCAAGATTTACAGCTTAAGACATTCCCAGCTCTCCTTACTCCTCTCCTAGCACTTTATGTTGAAAACACGGGCCCAAATGCATCTTTTGGGGGCACTATTTTCCTATGTTTATGTACTCTTAGTGAGATTAATGTGCAGAGCCATTCTACCCATAAAAAGTTTGAAATAATGTGAAAAATGGAGCATTTTTTTAATGAGCTATTCCTTGAATATGTACTTTTGGGGGAAAAAAAAAGTGGTATCAATTAATTCTATCATTTCAGGTTAGAAAAGGCCACTTCATTTAAGGAATCCTTTAACATCTTCACTTTCACATGTAGGATTGTAACTGTTTGAAAGATATACCTCTACGTTGCCAAAATAGATCTATGGTTTAAAAAAATACAGGGACAGTTTAGAATATCATATTAACTTATTTTATTTAGTTTATAAAGCTCAAGCTGCATAAATGATGTATGTTCTTTTAAAACAAAAAGGACAAAGTGTTGGTGTTCAAACTTTCAACTTATTGAGAAAAGATAATACTTGTTTTTTAGAAATACTCCTAAAAATAAAATATCTTAAATATATAGCGATTATGTATATATAGTATTAAATATAAATATATATATACACACACACTATATGTGCTTTTTTCTTCAGCTTAAGGCTCATATTTGTTTTCTAATTTATTTTTTAAATATACAGCATGTTTTATCTTGGAATGGGCAGTGTTCTAAACTTAAGAAATGTTTTTGGTGACTTACGTTTTAGCTGGTTGACATCCAAGGGTATTGATATTTTTATAATAAGAAAACGCTGTAATTTATGTGGCATGGGTTGTATTAGTGTGTTCCAACGGTATTTTTAAAGTACTGTTTTTCTTTGTTCTGTGCCTATTTAAAACAGTGCCTCTTTTTGAAGGTGCTAATAATGCCTACTTAAGTGTAATATGAGGGTTTAATTAATGCTTCAGTCTTGGTTACTCTGAGAAAAGGTGCATTCCGGTTGCGGGGTGGTCAGAGTCATGCAGGTTGCTGTCCCTTGTGCAGCCCTCTGATTGTCACAGCAGTTATTAAAATCAGCACGTACAAGACAGCTGACCCTACGCAGAGCTGGGACATATGGAAACTACATTTATTGTTATGTTTTTCTTCTCCGTAAGACTGTTAAGTGTGGTTAAATGAGGACTATATATAATTAACACTTAAGATAATTGTGTGAGCCTATTCCTTTGTCAGATTGAAACAAAATTTACATAAGATTACCTGTGTTTGGGGGGTAGGGTGGGTAGGTAATTGAAGACAGTTTATGTTCAACTCTAAACCACCTCACTAAAGAAGAGTGGGAGAAAATACAATATAGAAAAATGATATTTTGATGGCAGGTTTGGGGGAGATACATGATGATTGATGTGAGTTTGAGCATTTTTTCCCCTATTTATCCTCTGGGGAATTTTAACAGACAAAGTGTGATTCCTTGTCACAAAGGCTGCTCTTTATTATATTGTAGTTATCATTAAAATCTCACATTAAGTTGGCTATTTAAGTTAGTGCTGTTCTCAAAATTAGATCTTTTTTGTTTTTAAATTTACTCTGTCATGTTCCAAACGTTGTCACTTTTTAATGCATCTCTCTGCTAGAAATCCCCAAGAACGACCCCACTGTCCTCGGCTTTTGGGGGATTATACCTTAAATGTAGGACAGATGCACTCAGAACTTGCGATTCATTTATTCAGGCCCTGTTTTTTTAGAGAAATATTTGAAATATCTCCTTTTTCCCCCTCGTGCCCTTAAGAAGCAGGTGAACTTACGATGGCGGATGTGATTTGGCTGCCTTCCTCTGCAAAAGGAATACCAGCCAGGATTGTTAATATTAAACCAGGTACTTGGAGTCAAAAAGAGAGAAGGTAGCTTCTTAGGCCCTGTTAAATTAAGGATGGACTAAAAAAGTTTTGCATTGCTTCTCTTTTCTAGTTGCCAAGTGTGCATATGTGTGTGTGAGTTCAGAGGTGGTTACCGAGGTTAAACTATACTGATGGATCGTGATGCTTTGGTTTGAGTCTCAAGAAGAGAGAAGCGGGAAAAATGTAGAATCAGTACCAGGAGAAAGGTGACTTTTGTAACTGGGGACAGAACAAAGGAAACACGGAGGGGAATTAGGAGATTAACGAGCCAGATTATTTTTGAAACAGCAAGAAAGCTACACTTCCACTACCAGTAAGTTCTTCTGGAATAGAAGTAACATGGACGTATTCAAGGTTTGGCTCAGTAAATATCAAATGTGATTTAATTTAGATACTAAAAGAAAACTCATGGAAAGGGAGTAATATCACGCTTTAATATTCTCTTTAATTTTTTTTCCCAATAAATTAGACATATTAGTATTGGAAGAGAATTTCTGCTTATCCAGTCACGATCTTCGCGTGACACGTGCTCTTTTGCCACGCACAGAGAGAAGCAGTGAAGGAGCCTTATGCCTGTTTCTCGTTAAAGAATCACTAACGCTTTTACTTGGAGAAAGGCAAAGGAGTGTGCTCTTAGCCGTCTTAAAAGGCTCAACCGAAAGACCTTAAAGTGTGGTTGATTGGTTAGAAGAAGAATCTGTCTTTTGCTGTCTGAGACACCTGAGCAGTCATGGCAAATTGAACCTAGAAAAATAATTGGTTGCTCTACTTAATAGTAACCAACATTCCATTTGGGTCCTATTTTTTAGAATATTGTCTCTAATTTGGTGCTTTCCAAGTCATCTTTTCTTTAAAGTGCCCTTCCTCCAAACTTAAAAAATACTTCTTTGATAAGAACTGCTCTTCATTATAAAACATTCCAATTTTTTTTACACTTTAATTTTTCTTTATCGAAGGTCTGTCACTTGGTATATTAACTATGAATGTAGTGCAGACGTATCTCCAGGTTTTAAGTGGGGCCCAATAATGAAAAGTGCCACCAGCCACTTTTGTGATAATGGCATCTCCAGTGCCATCATGTATGCAAGCAATAACTTCTTCAGGGTAGGTTTTTATACCGAAATTTTAATGTGAACATTCCCAAGTGATGCCAGAATTCAAATTGCTCAGTGTAGGGAAGAGAAAGTGTGTGTGGTAGGGGCGGGGGGTGGGGGGGAGGCAGACAACATCATTCCTTGGATTCAAGTAACTATCAAAAGCCTTTTTCACTTTTGCAAAGGGTACAGATGGTAAAAACAGCCAAACACACCTGCACTGCTTTATCAAGTTACATTTCGTTTTCCATGAAGTTTAATACAGATTGGCGTCCTTATCTTCACGGGGTGACATACCCCAATTTTTAAAAATTACCAGCCTTTTTATTGTCTACTTTGTGGAAACAGGGGTTTTTTTTTTTTCCCCTCCACCCCTTCTAATTTTAGATCTCATTTCTGGTTATACTCAAAGCCTTCAGTTCTTATTCTGAGTGTATTACCTGTGATAACTGTAATAATGACCTTTCTGGGCTGAAATATCCTGGGCTGAATATCCTGAGAAAAAAGGCATCAAGAGAAGCAAATAAAACTTTTGAGGACAAAGGTCTTCCCGCCTCCCCCCTCCCCCCGGCCAGGCATCCTTGCTGTAATACAGAATCGAACATTAACTACGATTTTCTATATCACGTGATGTTCCTATTAGCGGGTCTAAGATTAAGCACATGGTATTTATAAGCTAAAATTAATTCAAAAGGCAAGAATGTCTTAATGTCTTCATTCTTAAATTTTGTATTCTTCACGAATGTATTCATATAAAACTGGGTAACCTGTTCTTATTAGGATTCTATTGTATATCTGTAACATCTTAAATGGATCCTGTTAACTTCTTCATTCTCATCCAATTTTAGTAGAATCCAGTTGCTTTTTATTTCCATATTACGATCTACTATGGATTCTTCAGGTTTAGAAAATATGAATATGATATATAAAAGCCACTAGATCCACTTTTAAAACCCTTCCTGTGAATTTATGCGTATGTGTAAATATGTAAAAACACTGCTGATTTCCAATTGTTTTTCCATAGGAATGAAATTTTTATAGAAACTGTTCTTTTTAACTTAACTATTTTAACATAAATTATTTACATGGACTTTTTGGTATAATTCATTCTTATGTATGCCCTGTAATCATGTTGTCATGGAAGACGACTGCTTTCTTTACTGATACGTAGAGAGGAATTGGAGTAGCACTGAGACAAGCAAGAATGGACAGACAGATGGACAGAAGGAGTCCATCGGTCTCCAAATCAGAGCAATATATGTTAGGATAAGAGAAAAATACTTGAACAGCAGAGGGACATAAACTGTAAGATACAAATCTACACGATTGCACACTGATGGGGTCCATTGCACCCGGCCTTTCGTCTGGCCTCTGGACCACTAGTATCTCGTCACTACTTTTTCTTTAGACTTAAAAAATAATGACTTCTATTGGGTAGTTTTCTGCTCTGTTTATTGACATAGAAAAAAAATCCCTCTGAAGTCAATCACGGTCTTCTACTTTCTGGTCTGAGCATTTGGCAGAGTACAGTGTCCTTTCTGTCTTTTGAGATGAAATAGCACATGGCTTGTACAAGATAGTTGTTAACTCATTGGGGGTCACTGTGAGTTACATGACGGTTACCCCTTCCTAAAACTCATTACAGATTGAATTAGTGAGATTAGGTAGATTTAGTGAGAAATCAAGAAATCTCATTGTAGCATATTTTATTAATAAGTGAATACCAAATACATAGAGTGATCTGTATAGGTTTGGGAAGAGAAATAATAGTCTATGTGGACCATTATGATAACAGAATTGCATTATCTATTACACATTATATGGATGTTGGAATGTATCACTTGGGTGGGGGCGGGGAGGTCTCCCTACATTAGCAATCATGTCTGTACATAGAACCTTGTTTTGTTTTTTTAAAACCAAACTAGCATTTCATTTTGTGACAATTGACTGATTTTTTTTTTGAGTAAGTGTTGTCTGGGTTTTTGAATTGTTGACTGATCAGTTTGAAAAGGTATGTTAGCAGAATTTTAGAGTTAAATGTGAAAAAAAGTGTACACAAAAAGTAATTTTTCCTTTCTAGCTATATGAATGTAAAATACTTGCAGATAGTGTATATAATTTGTAACATATGTATATTTGGTCATAAAGACAGAGAATTGGAAACATTGTAAAATTAAGCACTTTAATTCTATTAAATATTAAACATTTGTATCTTATAAATAAATACATCCTTAAATGAATTCTAAAGACTTAGATATTATTTCGGCTAGGATTATGTTATGTTCAGCTCACAATAATTTTGGTTGTTAGAAATGTTGGTTGACTCAGAAAAAAGTTACTGCATAGGGTACTGACCCACCACCAATCCCACCAAAACCTGCATAAATCTTTCGAGAATAAAGCTTGTGGTGGGGGGAGGGTATAGCTCAAG